AGACAGACAGACAGACGGATGAACAGACAGACAGACAGACAGACAGACAGACAGATGAACAGACAGACAAACAGACAGATGAACAGACAGACAGACAGACAGACGGACGGACAGACAGACAGAGAGACAGTGAGACAGACAGTGAGACAGACAGACAGACAGACAGACAGACGGATGAACAGACAGTGACACAGACAGACAGTGACACAGACAGACAGACAGACAGACAGACAGTGACACAGACAGACAGACAGTGACACAGACAGACAGACAGACAGACAGTCGAAAGGACAGACAGTCTTTCCAGCAGATGAGTCCATGCTGTTTCTCACCTTCATCATGAGACGAGCATCCGTCTGCGTGTCTGACACAGGACTCCACTCAGAGCTCTGAGCCTTCATCATCCTCCTCCTCTTCAAACAGGCCTTCTGACAGCGATCCAGGGCGAGCTCTTCTGTCTGACGTCTGATCTCTACACACACACACACACACACACACACACACACACAGGGGTGAAATAAGAGGTTTCAGAGCACAGCGTGATGTTGGTCATGTGTCGGTACCGTCAGCGCTCTGCTCCAGTGCTTCATTAACTGCGGTCTCCACATCACTGAGAGTCTGTTTCTCCAGCCGTCCATCATCTCTCAGCTCCTGCACTGATTGGCCAGTGACTTTCAGCATAAGCTCCGCCTCCTGTTTCAGGAGCGCAGTCTTCTCTCTCAGGGCATCGGACACTTCCTGCCAGCACTCAAACCGGTCCAACAGCATCTGTCAAACACCGGCGTTAGTCTGAGTTCAGCGGCGGCACGAGCGTGACAGCGGCGGCGCGTGATCCTCACCTTCAGAATGGACACCTGAACCTCAGCCACAATGTCCTCCATCGGTCGCAGGCACCCGATCACGCTACGCATCACTTCCTCTGAGACGTCACTGGAAAACGTGCGGTGAAGAGTCTGCCCGAGCTGCTCCAGCTGCTTCGCAAAACTCAAAGCCTGAACACACAGGTGTGTATGTAAAGAGCGAGTCACAGACAGAGATGCTGCATATACAGTCTACAGGCACTGAGTGTGGCCCAATTCATGCACTAGTCTATGCCGTTTTAGTATAAATAGTGAACAGTGTTTTGGAAGGTTACCATCTGCAGTGAGCGCTCCAGCTGCTCCCGTCCTGTTTTCTCCACCTCCTCTATAGAGCACATGACCGTGTCAGTCTCCGCCCCCTCGTCCACAGACACGCCCCTCATCAGCAGCTCCACCTCCTGCAGGACACTGAACACGTTCAGTACAGCAAGTGTCATGTGAACATGATTTTGAGCTGAATCCACATCACTCGTGAGCACTCCGCTGGTCCGTTACGGTCATGTGTGTCTCACCTGCTGCTGCTGCTGGTGAATCACGTCTGCATGCTCTCTGTGGCCCAACAACACTCGCAGAACCTGCAGAAACATCTGCAGCAGATCCACAGAGAACAACAGTAATGAGTTAGATCATGAAACGAAACGAAAACACACTGACATTATAAAGGCACATACGGATCACACATAAAGCACCTTCTATTGCCACTACAAAGGAAGATCTAGTCTGGTTTTCATCTGACTAAAACTGCTAATACTGCTGCTTTTATGTGACAAACTGCTTCTTTTTTTCTGCATTTGTAAGTGAAAAACATCTGCTAAAGGAATAAATGTCACCTAATGTCATTCTCTGGTGAATTCTCTTCATTCGTCACGAATCTTCACCAGTATATTATGTACGGACAGCTGTGTCGATGTGTGTCGTACCCTGTACTTCTGCTGCTGTAGTTGTGACGTGTGCAGCTGTAGTTCCTGTAGTGTCAAACACAGCAAACTCACCCTGCAAAAACACACAAATATCAGCACTGGGAATAAATCTTCATGGCTGGTTATCTGGATAGTCACATCTGCTCTGTACAGTGTTCAGTAGGGCTGTGCAATTAATCGCATGCGCATCTCGTCAGTAAAGCCGGTCCCGTGATTAGTAGTAAATCTCCATCACCTGCTTTCAGATGGAGCGGCATTCACTACACGGAGCCGTAGTTCACTGAAAATTAGTTCATAATCGCAGATGAATCGCATTCGATTATGAACGCGATATCGCTAACTACAGCTCTGTGTAGTGAATGCCGCTCCATCTGGCTTTACTGACGAGATGCGCATGACAATCACATGCGATTAATTGCACAGCCCTAGTGTTTAGGGGAATCTCTTTTTCACTATTTCTACTAAATCTCTCAGTGTTTCAGCTTGTACGACTGGAAGATGTTCGAACCGCTTGTTGTACTCCTCATTTGTAACACCGTGTCCTAACCACAAGGCTATGCACAGAAAATAGAAACCGCTTCTAGAGTTCGCTGTCGCAGCTGATTAAGACAAAAACTCAGATTAATATGGAAAAGATACGCTTGTACAGCATGTCGCTGCGGTGTGTGTAGTTAGGACACAGTGTAAGTCGCTTTTCACAGTAAGAGCACATGCATGTTTCTTCCTGTGTACTTTTCATCTGGAGCCAATCAAATGTTCTGTGTGAGTGCGTGTGTGAGTGAGAGTGTGTGTGTGTGTGTTGTGTGTGTGTGTGTGAGTGCGTGTCTGTTAAGAGTGTGTGTGAGAGTGTGTGTGTGTGTGTCTGTTAGAGTGTGTGTGTGAGAGTGAGTGTGCGTGTGTGAGTGAGTGAGTGCGCGTGTGTGAGTGAGTGTGTGTGTGAGTGAGTGCGTGTGTATGTGTGTGTGTGTGTTTTTGTGACAAATGAGGACATCAATTTGTATAATGACAAAATGACAATGTGTGTGCGTGTGTGTGTGAGTGTGTGTGTGTGTGTGAGTGCGTGTCTGTTAGAATGTGTGTGTGAGAATGTGTGTGTGTGTGTCTGTTAGAGTGTGTGTGTGAGAGTGTGTGTGTGAGAGAGAGTGTGTGTGTGAGAGAGAGTGTGTGTGTGAGAGAGAGTGTGTGTGTGAGAGAGAGTGTGTGTGTGAGAGAGAGTGTGTGTGTGAGAGAGAGTGTGTGTGTGAGAGAGAGTGTGTGTGTGAGAGAGAGTGTGTGTGTGAGAGAGAGTGTGTGTGTGAGAGAGAGTGTGTGTGTGAGAGAGAGTGTGTGTGTGAGAGAGAGTGTGTGTGTGAGAGAGAGTGTGTGTGTGAGAGAGAGTGTGTGTGTGAGAGAGAGTGTGTGTGTGAGAGAGAGTGTGTGTGTGAGAGAGAGTGTGTGTGTGAGAGAGAGTGTGTGTGTGAGAGAGAGTGTGTGTGTGAGAGAGAGTGTGTGTGTGAGTGCGTGTCTGTGTTAGAGTGAGTGTGCGTGTGAGTGCGTGCGTGCGTGTGTGAGTGTGCGCGTGTGTGTGTGTGAGTGAGTGTGTGTGTGAGTGTGAGTGCGTGTGCGTGGGAGTGCGTGTGTGAGTGAGTGCGTGTGTGTGAGTGCGTGTGTGTGTGTGGGTGTGTGAGTGAGTGCGTGTCTGTTAGAGTGTGTGTGTGAGTGTGTGTGAGAGTGAGTGTGCGTGTGTGTGCGTGAGTGAGTGAGTGCGTGTGAGTGCGTGTGTGTGTGTGTGTGTGTGTGTGTGTGTGTGCTTGTGTGTGAGTGCGTGTGTGTGTGTGTGTGTGTGTGTGTGTGTGTGTCTGTTAGAGTGTGTGTGTGAGTGTGTGTGAGAGTGAGTGTGCGTGTGTGTGCGTGAGTGAGTGAGTGCGTGTGAGTGCGTGTGTGAGTGAGTGTATGAGTGCGTGTGAGCGTGTGTGTGTGTGTGAGAGAGAGTGTGTGTGTGTGTCTGTGTGTGTGAGTGTGTGTGTGAGTGTGTGTGTGTGTGAGTGTGTGTGCGAGTGAGTGTGCGAGTGTGTGTGTGTGTGAGAATGTTTATGTGGTTTATGAGGACACAAATGTGTATAATAACATGGTATGACAGGTATTACAACGAGGTGGTGATTTATGAGGACATTTTCAGTGTCCCCGTAATTCAAAAGGCTTATAAATAATTCA